AATTATACTTATAATTCAAATTATGATAACCCACATGCATTATCTTGCATTTATTATAATTAAAACCCATTTGCCCAACTAACTAAAATATCTAAATTATTTTGTAAATCAGCAACATCCTCTTCACAGCTAGCAACACCCAAGACCTTAATATCATCTGCAAATTTAAGTAACTTATTGACAATTCTTTCATCTATGTCATCGATGTAAATCAAAAAGAGCAAATATATAGATACAAGTACACAAATAAATAAACAAGTATCTCCTTCCAAGAGACACTGTGTATAGATTCGTCCAGTCAGGACTTTTGCATGTTGATTCTATGCATTTGTCTTAAACAAAATTCCACTCTCTATGCTTGAGCTTTGTGAGAGGGTGCTGTCCTTTGGAAATAGACAGATGGTGGCTGATAATGCCATGGCAAGGAACCATTCCCATTTTTGCATGCACATCATTGCATGGCATTATATATACAGAAAAAAAAAAGAGAGACTACAGTTAACACCTAATATCCTGGCTAGAACCAGGATTGGAATCATCTATGTATTTTTTAATTTATTTATCTCTTTGTTTGGATATTCCAGATACACTGCCTTCACATTGTTATACCCATTCTTGAGACTGCTTGAATTTCTCTCTAGTTCTTCCTGAACACCTATAAGTTTGCCAGTTCTATGATTCTCTGGCCATTTTGGATATTAAGAGGATATTAGGAGTTTGTCCTATCATAAAATGTGTCTGGGCTGCTCCCCTCAGAACCTTCCAATGCAGTGGCATGATTATGACACCATCTGTGTCACATTGCTGGCTCCACAGGTTCAATACACTATTACCTCTCACATTAGCTGTTTGCTTGAATTAAAAGGCATCATATAACTTGTAGTTTTATATCTTTAGTTTCTTTTGATGTTCATCCATTTCCACTTCCTTTACAATGCAGGTATTCTGACTTTCAATATTTCAGAGGTAAGCCTACCTGATTTTAATTTCACACACAACTAAAATTTCATTGCAACTGTAACTTTCAATAAAATCTAAATTATGGCAAAAAAAACACATTTTATGTAACATCCCCCCACACTTGCATAATAGTTAATGTGGAAGGTGGGTGAGTGATGAATTATTGTTAAGTAATGTGTGGTCTGCAATACATTAAGAATGTTTAGAAATTTTTAGTTACACTTTGTATACAGAATGAGTTCAAACTCAACAAAAAAAAAAAGCTTTCATTATTTCAGAAATAAGTCAACTAATTTGAAATTCATTTTAACTCTAAAAATGTAAATCCTGAATCTAGTTACTGATACTGTAGATTATGTATCTTATACAAAATTAATAAAACACACTATGGCAAGTAAATAATTCACACTCAACTAACTACAAGAACTGGGAAAATTTATTGCCATAAACAGTTATAAAACATCCATTTTATACTTTACTCCTTATATCTTATGAGCCATTAAAATTCTAGTAATTTTAGTCTGTTGTATAAAGGTTTAAAATACAAACCTTTACTGTATTTTAATGTTCGGGTTTTCTGCATGTATTGGAATAATGAAGTATTTGTACCCTTCAAAGTTTATGACAGCTTTACTTTTGCTTATATCTAACACAAATAGTTATCTTGTATTACAAACAAGGATCCCTTCAGAAATTATTCAGGAATGTGACCAAGGGAAGAAAACAGAATTCAGAGACAAGAAAAAGAACATTAATAAGGCATTCAGTGGTCTGAATAAGTTGAAAAATTATCTTAGACTGCACTTTCAGTATGTATCAAGATCATCAGCTAGTCCCTTCTGACAACAAATTGAAATCATTCTAGCTCATATACACTAAACCTTGAAATATAGATACATAAGCCTTAAAAATACATACAGTATTTCTTGTTTTTAAAAATTCTTTTATAATTTCAAGGCTAAACTTTTTCACACCTCCACAATCTAATCACACAAAATAAACATATTCTAAAATGACTCTTAAGAATACCCATCATAATACATTTCCTGTACAGAATACTCATAGCAATTAATTTCTTGTACAGAATGCCTATCCTAATGCATTTTCAAAATATTTAAAACCTTCTTTATCTGGGAATGTTCACCTAACTGAAAAGTAAATGAGATTCACATCTTCTATTGCTACAGTATTATGAGAATAAACTGATGGAATGTTATTAAAACATAAATAAAATTATTACTTTTGTGCTACAATACAAAAGAAACAATTCTTGATACTTTTGTATTTATAAAAATAAAAATGAACATTGATAATAAATCCATTTATTAAATAAAACAAGTAAGCAAAGGAAAAGCTTGTATGCTTGTCAGCTTTAAATAACAGTAAGAACCTATGTTTTTAAAATTTCTTTATGGAATAAAGCTAAACCTTAATCATTTTAGGAGAAAGCCAACAATAAGGTCAAATTTCATCAAGTTTTGCAATGCGAGTTTACCATTTTCTGTTTTACTAAATAACTTTTCACTTTATATAAATAAAGCATTTATAATATTGACCAAAATATTCTTTTTTTAATGACATTTTAAATAAATATATGATTAACCTAATGCACATGCACTGTTAGCACTACTTGTGCCATGCATAGATTCATATTTAGTATATATCATATCAGTAGTGGAAAAACTTTCAGTTCAGTAAGATGCATGTAACTAGAACTTCTGTTGTAGTTAGTTTTAAACAGTCATGAGAAGGTCTTATACGAAATAATAAATTAATAAAAATGGAAGTCAACCCAGCCCTTACCTGATGTCTGAAAAATTCCTAATCTTGAATATACACTTCTTGAATTACACTAACCAATTCAATATTTTGTTTATATTTTTAATAGTCATCTAAAACTATTTACACTAAAACTTTTGCATGGTCCAGTATATAATTTAAAATGTTTCAATGTTGCATGAAAACAGAAACTCGATGTTTTGAAAATCTGTTTAATATTTTTCTACCACTTCTATTACTTCCCTCTAACCAACTTAGCTTTGCTTTGTTTGCTAACTGCTCAGTTCTTTTGCCTTTTACATTATTACCAAAATGTGGGCTTTAACTGTCTTCTATTCATTTTAATCTTCTCCACATGCCTGGCCTTCTTTGTATGTCACTGATACTCTTGTCTTGCACTGGTCTTCCCCAACATCTTTCTGTTTAAGTTTTTAACATCAGCTTTTCCTTCCAGTGTTTGGTTCTTAGCTTACCTTTTTCACAAGTATGGCAAAGTACTTGTACACAAAAGAGGATGTGGGATCTTTGTTATGTTTTAGGGGACTAAACGTTAATTAGTATCTTGGTTTTAACAGGATGCTAATTTCTGGTATTTACAGAACTCTGATTGCAAAACTAACTTAAAATGTTACTAGCCTCGGGCATTCTGAGCATCAGGAAATATTCTAATGACACTACCACAATACATCATGGCAGAAACTGGCTTTAAAGAAAATATTTCAAATGCAAAACTACTCATATTCAGTCAATCTTGCTCCTCACAAAATTCAGAAATCCTTTTAACAGTGTTTGTTTCAACTAATTTACTGTACAGATCATAATTTGAGTTAAATACCACTAACTAAAATAAAACTTTGCATTCTATTCAATGCCAGCATAGCACAAATTAATAAAAGTAAAAACAGTTTACCTCTCTGGCTTCATTAAAGACATTCTTATTCATAGAATGATATACCATACAGTATATTTTACTGTACGATTGTTTATATTTTTTGTGGTTATTAAGTTTACACAATTACTTTTTAAAATATCTGCAGTGTTTTAACTTGAATAAATATTAATTCTGCAGCTTCATCATTCACAATTTGCATCACACAGATAGATACTGCATAAAATCCCTAAACTGAAGGAAAAGTCTGCAATGTAAAAGCAATTATTGGGTAGGTTGTGCCCCTCTTACACTATATTTTTTAATGAAAACTTAATTTTAACATTATGCAATCATTCCTCAAACACTCTCTCTTTCAAAAAAAAAACCAAAACCATTTTTAGTATAATGCAACAGCAATTGTAACTCAGTTAAAAACTTTGGTGCAAATATTGTCTTCATTTTCATAGGCATACAGCAGTACATGTACATTCTTTTCCTTAATGGAGAGCTATGTAATTTATGAAGATATTTCTTATATGACATTAGTTATTACTATAGTGGCTTAGAATATATTTAGTTTATTACTTTAAAACTTTGTTGAGAGTAACATTTTATTTCTCTCGGCTTCTTTCCTCAAAGTTTCCTGTAAATCTTACCTTTCCAATGTTACTGACAAAAATTAAAATACAATACATGAGATACTTGTTCTCTTTGACCACAGAAAACTACATCAACAATATTTTACAGGTTGTGAAATGTTAATAAGGGGGAAGTACAGTGAACCTTAACATAATATGAAGTAAGCTATTGGTAATGTGAAGTGCAAAAAATAATACTTCTAAAAGTCTAAACTGAAAAATGCATTAACTATAGCTAAACAAATTCCATAAAAAGTACATAAATAATAATTATAAAATAGTTTTTTTTTTATCTATTACTTATTTTTATATTAACAATGAATCAGTATTAGTACACAAGAATTTAAACATATTTAGTCCTCATTTTCAGTGTTTGTTACCTGAAACTGCTGAAATAACATCACCTTACTGTTATGCATAACCCTATTCCCACTCATCTGGTTTAGAACTTTCAAGCACTGGCCATACATGTTGCCCATACACACCAACAATAAAAATTTAGATATTTCACACTGCAAGAAAATAAAAATACTAATCTGACTGCTACAAATTTATAGAGATAAATATATTCATACTTAGCTATGTCTTCCAAGTTCCTATATATATCATCGTTGTAGTATTCGTGAGCTTTATTGTAGGATGGAAATCCCCTGGATAAAAATAAAAATATAGACACATATGACTGACAGTTAAATACTGTAATATGATCAGTTTTTCCATAAATCGATTGACAATTTGTCACCTTTAGTAAGCCTCTAATGACAACTTACAATAAAAAGAAACAAGATATTAGACTGTTATTTGAGGGCTCACAAAGTTGTTGTTATTTGTTTGATCTTTTTTTTTATGTATAACAATGTATTACTTTTTTTTAAATGTGTAACATTTTCCTGCTATTGCAAATATCAGTGGGACATGATTTTCAAAAATTGTTATCTGGTTGAATATTATGAAAAATTAAAAAAATTGAATTGGATTTTAATATTGCCCACTCCTAACTAGTTTCCATTAATACCAACCCGATGTGCTTTTTGAACACCTTTATTCATGTAGAATACACCAAAATAGTCAAGAGTAAACATTATAACTAAAAATGCACATCACTACACTCATGATAATTAAAATTAGATTCTACAAAAGCAGCATACTAAATAAAAAAAAATATATGATTTACTGACAAAGACAATATCTGTAACAAAACAATATATACCTTGGTAAGAGAAATGATGTCACTTTGATGTCATCATGTACTAATCTTAAACTGTTTGTCTCTTTCAAACTGGTGGAAAACTGATTTTGTGAATCATGACCGGTGTGAACAACCCACTTCAACATTATGTTAAGATAGCATTTGAAAATAACATATATATATACCCAGAAACACAAATATTGCGAAATTAATTAAGATAATGACAAATCTATAGAACCTATAGCCAGGAGTTTTCTTTTTACTAAACTAAGTGCATGGTTTTTACATGATGGTGGGAGAATATTCTTGGTCTACCCCCCATAAACAAGAAGACTCTCCAGGAGATAAACCAGAAGTGAAGCTCTTAGAATACTGTATACAAGTTATTTATAGCAGCAGCATTTTTCAAAAAAGTCCAGGGTAATTTTACCCTTCTAAAGCACAAAAGTATTTGCTATTCCTCAGCACAAATGGTGCCTGATCCTATAAAACCATAACAACAAATGAAGTTCATTCGGGTGAGCTAATCATGTACCGTACATTGGTGTTAATTGGCATTTCTTGTATCAGAAATGGCTTAAAAGGTTCATGATATTGAGAAATCTTCAAACTTCTACATAGTGCCTCATATTTCTCACATAATTGGAAATCTTTTGATAAAAGAACTGGTGGTGGGGGTTACCTGTGAACTGAGATTGATTATACAGAAAGGAGAAATGTTCAAGAAGGGACTAGAAAATGGGTGGTCTTAAAGAAAGAAAAGTGATTTGGCTGAGAGTTGTCTAGAAGTTACTGAGCACTTCTTTCAAATAAACATTTACTGTTGGTATGTGATTCTCTTCATCTCAAGAATACAAGACTGCAATACTGTATTTTACTGAAGTATCTGGAAAGCTACAATGACGTCCAAACTTACAATTTGGATCTGGCATTTACTTTAAAACAAATAAAAGTAGTTAATTTCACAGTGATTGGCAAATACCTCAAATTAGGAAGCATTAATCAAAATGGAAAAAAACAAATGCCCACAGTAAATCTGCAATTCCTATGTAGGCCTTTGACAAGAACCTTCATGAACTACCAAGGTAGGTTGCTTAGCTACATAATGTTGCATTAGATATAGCCTAAACAGACAGTAAACAAGCTTATTTATCTGAACTTTTAGTAATTCAAGTCCCTAACATATATTTAAATATGAAAAGCTTTACAAATTCTTGTTTTAATTGTATTTTGAAAGAAAACAGACCAAGTTAATTTCATGTAACATGACAGTATATTAAATGAGTTATATTAATTACTAGCTTAATTTTGAGTTCTGATCTATAATGTGTACTTATACTAATACTGAGTGCTCAAGGAAAAAACCCTAGAGATCAATTAACTAACGAAAACTAAATTATATATTTGTTTGCTTTCTATTGTATTACAGGAAGGTAAAGATGATGAAACATAGAGAAATATGCAGAGGACCAGCAGTCTTTTTTCTATCAATCATCTGACACAATTTCTACACCAGATATGATAACTTTAAAATTCAGCTTTTTTTTTTCCTAAAATGAATCATGCCAATTTTTGCTTATTTATTGACAAGATTCTTATTTAATTTATAAGATTTAATCCCCGTAGCTGAAACAGTTTTGGAATTTAGAAAAAAAAAGTTCACATATATGAATTGTTTTTAGTGAAGCGCAAAAGTACTGAAAATCTTACAAAGGAACACTCACAACTTGCAATTTTGTCACTAATATTTTGGATTGATCCTTCAATCAAAATAAATCAAAATTCACTGTCATCAAACTGCTCTTACTGTCAAATGTGACCAAAGAACATAATGCAATTGAAAGACACATCAAACCTGCTGATTAGTCAAAGTTGCATACTATTTACTTTCATTAAAAACACATTTTGGATGAGAAATATGAATTGGTAGTTAGATTCACTGACACTGATGTTTGATAAATGGACTGATGAGAAACCTTTTAACTAAGTTCATGTTTTCGCTCTTGGAATCAGATTTACTCAAGACCATTGAACTAAGACTTGAATCTCATGATGGTGAGCTTACAGATAAGGTCTTCAGTGATACTACAAAAACTGTGGAACTACAGAAGATCAATGCAAATAACACAGGAGCTGCACGAGCACTACTTAAACAGAAACTTTTGCATCACTTATGTTTTTCTACCTCACACCTTGAAGTTGCCTGCAAAGGACATTTTCAAACTTAGAACTGTGAAGAAATGTATTCCACAACAAATGTTTAACATATTGAAATTGAGAAAGGGAAAAGAGACTGCTTTCTTTATCTCAAGGATTCTTGTTAGGATTAGTTATGGAGTGCCTTAAAAATGCAGTTAAAAACCATACCAACCACAGTAGCATCACTGGTCAGCATCCTCAACCCTATCCACATCTGCAAAAACATAACGATCAATAAATTTGCTGAACGCAGGTGAGAGGAGTAATGGATCTATTGCAATCAATCTTGCAAGCTATAACAACTTTCTAATGTGACAAGAATCACTAAAAAAATACAAATTTAAGGAACTTTTCTTCAAAATTAACATCTCTACCTCTAATATCAGCTGTCCACTGTCTTACTGAATATAAACAACTGAATTTAAAGTTTGTATTTCTTAAATGCAATGAAGTACAACCTTTAAATTCACTTGCTTCAATTAATAGAGTGCTGTTCCTCACCCTTTAAAAGAGAAACATTTTTTACAATACTCCAATTCTGTGAAACATAGTTCAAGACTGTAGTAACTTCTGTTAGTGTTGTGCACTTCTACATACAACTTTTTTGGATCTTTCCACCAGTGAAATTTAGTCAACAGTACTAACTTAGATAGTTGCCTATGACAAACTCAAAACCACATATTTTATTAATGCATTGACTGCCATGAGACACACTAGAGGGTCACATGGCACTATTAGTAATGTGCATTGTGACCATCCAGTGATTCACAGACCATAATATTTAAAATATAAAGTTTCTTTGTGGCATTTGACTTTAGGATATTGTGATTACTTCTTGGCACTTCAAGAATGTTCTTGTTTACGTAATAAAATTGTGATTTTGCTGCCCTTCATCAAACACAAAAAATTTGGAAATAAAAGCCAAATCACTGGTGGACACATACTAAAAACACTTCAAGTAGATATTTGAACATAGGATTGTCAACTGTGATCATATTATAAACCCGGGTTAAGCATAGAGGTTCATATTACAGTTGGCACCAGAATGTGGATTAATATATTATAAGGTGACACCCAACATGTTAAATACTTACAAAAACTGACTGTACCAATGTTTTTCAAAGTAAGAGAAATTTACAAATCATTCTAAATATTGTTTTAATTATTTTTTTTATCAGTTAACTGGAAATTTCTCCTTTATGAGCAATAATATATTTAATGTGCTAATTATCATTAGCTGTGGCAAACCAAACTAGCAAAAGGCAACAAACATCATCATGATTGAAGCTGTTTTGTAATTTATACAGGCATAAATAATTTTAATTTGAAAGTACATAAAATAAAACAAAGATTTAATTATAAATGTAAATAAAAATTGTAAAATTGGTGTTTTTAAGTTTCTACATTAGATGTGGTAACTTAAAATTTCAGCATTTTTTTTCTAAAACAAATCATAAACTATTATTTATTTATTGATAAGCTTCTTATCTAATTTACAATATTTAATCATTACAACTAAGACTATTTTGTGTTTGTACAGTTACAAAAATATTTATTTGAAAGTACACAAGGCAAAAATAAAACTTAAGATCTGGAGTTGGGTACACCTTTCAGATCATAAAATACATAAATTAATTCTGTATCTTTGAAGTTAAATAAAAATATATATATACATATAATATTCTAAGAAAGAGCAACAGTACTGTAAATCTGTATTTACTGTATAGTGTTAGATTTATCTACCCATAGCACATAACTTTCATAATTTTCAAATTTATCACTAATATTTTGGATTGATCATCCAATAAAAATAAATGAAAATTCACCAATATTTAATGTTTTTAACAAAGTTATTTTGCACATGTTAGAGTTATTAAATTAATACCAGGAGAATGAAGCAAAGAAAAACAAGTGAGTATGGTTATATATCAGACAAAACTTCTTTTCATTATGTTGCACGTATATTTTAGTTCTAAATCTCAATAATACTTAATGACTGCTTATCAAATATGAAAATATAGTTAAGTTCTAGCCACCCTTAAGAAATTACAGTAGGGCACTGTACTTGCATATTGCTTCTCAACAACTACACACATAAGTTTCAGACTATCTATAAACCTTAGCAGTGTAACTGATATGTATCACTATAAGGTGAAGGCTTGACTTTCAAGATCTTTTAAAGTTTTTGTACTTGTTTGAATACTAGTGATTTAGATAATATTCTAATTACTTTATATACTCTTTTTTTAAATGTAGGCCTATATAGAGAAAATAGTAAAATTTGTATAATGTCTGAGGTTTCTACACAAGATATGGTAAGTTTGAATTTCGATGTTTTCATATTATATATTACTATTTTAATGAGCACAATGTGCAATAAGTATTGGAATGGCTTATTTCCCATGTAATGTAATGTAGTTATGTGGTTGTTTTTTTTTGAGAAATTATGTGTAGTAAGTTGGTCCACTAGTGTGCTAATAGAGTAAACAGTGTCTTTCCTTGTTTAAAAAACTCATGTAGATTATTAGTTTTTATTTTATAGTACTGTTTTGAGAAAACTCCTTAATGGTACATGAACAAAGTTCATGCTTCCAGATTATATAACATATTAGAGGTTTTACAAAACTTGTATATTTCATGTCAAAATGTTGCCCCAACAACAAAGGAAGATGTTTTTCTTTTATACAACATGTTATTCTATGAACCTACCTGATTCCTGTGCTTTGTGCTTTAACAGATTTTGAGAGCAAGGACAATGTATGAAGAACCTATGTAATAAGAAAAAACATTTTTATAAATGAGAAATGAACTCAAACTTTCTTATGCTAAGCACATTTAACTGTGTAAATTGGATGGAGTTATAATATATTCCTAAATAATCTATGAAACACATATAAATAAAAGAGAAACTATAATTTAGTTCATCAGTTATCTACTGAAAATTTCTTACTATAAAACAGGCTGACCATTTTACATTACATCCAGACTATGTGCAATATTTTTCAGAACTTTCTATAAAAGACTTACGGTAGACAGACCAGAAGACAAAAGCTTTTATGTAAATGTGGAATCAGTATAGACGTTTAGCACCATTGTAATTTTCTAAATATAATTATCTGAGATGTTCACAGCATCTAACAAGTTTTGGACATTAAAAATTAACATGAATTAAATGAATACACAAAATTCTTGTTCTTGCTATTTGAATTACAATAATAATAACATAATGCATATAAATCGTGCAAGAAATCAGAATGAAATTTTAACCTGCATGACTTGTACGTGTATTTACATTTTAGGTAATATTTAACTTTTTTTTAACCACAGAATCATTATTTTTGTTTATCATAATTTTAGTCAGAAATGAAGTCTAAAAAATTTACGCGCAAATGCTTGACAGAATTATTTTCCTAAACTAAATATCTCTGCTTATTAGTAATAATCTAAAAAAAGATTTCATTTAATCATGGTGCCCTCCCCAATTCAGAGGGTTGATGATTATGTTTCTTTCTTGTCCACTATTCCTTGATGCATGCACCAACTTCTCATCTTCAAATGTTTTTCTAATGTCATTGAGCCAACTAAGTCATTACCTGTCTTTATCTCCTCTTCCTTGACTTTTACCCACCAGAATCTCTGCAACCTTCCCCAAGATTGAACAAAATGCCCAAAGTAACACATCTCCCTTTACTACATATTTCCAGCAATTGTTTTCTTGTCTTTGTGCATTCCAGTGCTTCCTCATGACATTTTCTTCCAGCTTAGTATCTTTATTCATCAATCACCACATATCAATGCATCCAACTGTCATTTTGTTGAAAACATTTTAACAAACGATTTTAAAATTGACAAACATTTCAGTTAACATACATAATTAAAAGACTATTTTATGATTTCTGCATCTAAAAGTTAAGTGACATCTCTGGATATATTCATGCCTTCCTCATAAGCTTAGTGTAACATCCATGTAGCACACAATCAGCTAATTTCAATTATACCTAAATGTGACTGCTCAAGCAATTATATGTATTCATGTGTATATACACACAAAAAACCAAAATACAGTAAAATGCTTTGTACGTGAAAGAACATACTTCTTACAGCAATAAAATCTTATCTGCTAACTGCAACTTAAAATTATTATTTGACCAAAAACAACAACGAGAACAACAAGGAGAAAAAGCATAATAGTCAGAAGCAGGGAACAAATGATAAAGTGAAGGAGAAGAATCATACAAAACAGGAGAGAGAGAGAGAGAGAGAGAAGGTAACATACTTGAGCAACCATGTCCAGCAAAGACAAAGAAGGCTAGAAAATCGAAGACAGTATTGGTAAAAGAGTTGGAAGAGGTAAGTGGTGGGAAAAGGACTGTCAAACCTCATCATCACAAATGGAATTCATAGGAGAAGGTATATCTGAATCAGGTTCAGAAGAAGGTCTGGGCTACACAAAAGGCTCCATCTCCCATCACACAATAGCTATCAGTTCCACAATAGCCAAAAAGAAACCCAATGCCAATGTAGTTGTTTGTCCAGCACAAACGTCAAACAAAGGTGAAGTTACTGTCACTTGTGAGTTCATAATGTGGAAATAAAACACCACAAAATATACAGGTGCAAAAATTTTGAACACTAAAATCCAAAATTTAATCTCTCCACAACATGGGTGTTTTTTTATAGCTACTTCCACAACAAACTCCAATACCAGAAAAGCTTACAAAAACACGTCTGTACTCACAAGTGCCAAATTGAGAAGTGATGATTGAACATCAGCTGCACTAGAAGGTTGTGTTCTATTGGTTGTAGGTTGCTGCATGCTCATTTGCATTTAACAACTCAGCAATATCATGTGGAAACATGCGAGTTTAAGTGAGAGCCTCAAGGTTAGTGTCAAGCAAAAAACGTTCACATATGAGGGCAGCAATGAATCAGAAAAGCTCTATGTGAGGGGGAGTTACATAAGATATCAGAAACAGTATTACAAATAACTTTTTTCAATAGTATATTAAACACATAAGCTAGGACAAAATTAATTATTCACAGAAAAAATTACTTACCCTTCCAAAATCTGTATAGTCAAACAACATATAAGGTTCAAATAAGTCTGCAGTTTTCAAGTCAAATACATTTTGACATGTCTGAAGAAAGGTTCTTATATTCTTCATACAAAGAAACTGTAAAGAGTAAACAAAAACAATATTAAATTTGACAGGTCACACTAAATGCTTAAGAACACTTACCTCCACTGTAGTGTGACCTATATATGTTAGATGTATTGCAGAAAACATAAAGGGACATACCATTCAACCATAATATAATTATTTAATTAGTACATTAAATTTACCTCTACATTTTAACGGTGGTGGTAATCAAATTAGAAACAACCAACCAATCATGAAACAAGCAAAATCAAGCAGTTTTTGCCAAATACAAATACAGTACCTTATATATAATACATAAATGTACATGTAACAGATCTCTTCTCTAAACTGAAAATGGCTGTTACCAGAAATGCTACTTAGTGCTATAGTGTCTCAAATGTATCATAGTGCCCACACCCAAAGTCCTATAATTAAGCAATATTTTAGGCTGGACATGCAAGAAAGTGAGTGCACTGGTTCAGGCCTGAAAATACAGGAATAGAAATACCACAAATCATTGCGCATAAAATGTTGAAAGTTTGCACTTCTTTCTCTTATATTACTATGCTGGATGCATGTAAACAGTGTCTATTATTTCCATTATTCAAGAAAACAACATTATTGTGCTTGACACCTGTTAACTAACTCATTAGAGAGCATAGTTATCTATCAGTAGGAGTGTGTACGGAATATATTTTAAAATTTTGATGCACAGTAAATCAAACTGATAAAAATAAAAGTGAATAGGTATCAATACACTAAAAAGGGCCAAGGGTACTCTGTACATTTACATTCATCAAGCATTAAAAAGCAAATAAGAAGGTTATTGTAACATTACAAAAGTATCCTTTAAGACCTCATTTGGAGTGTTGAGTAGAGTTTTGGTCCCTTTATTGCATGAAGAATATAAATATGCAAGAAAGAATGCAGGGATGGTCTAAGAAAATGATGCTTAGTTTAAAATATATAACTGAAAAGTAGAAACCTAAATATTTGGACTTGTCTTCAAAAGAAGCAGGAGAATTAGAAAAATATGATGCAAGGATGAGAAATTGTTAGAGCAGTCTGAGTAGTAGAATGAAAGATATGGTTAAAATAACATTAGTTTTAGTGGTAATATGTTTATGCCTTAGAAAACTTTCTTTTTTAGCATGTTGAAGCCAAAAATTTACATAAAAAGTTTAAAATATGAATTTATTTTCTAAGTTTTTTTTTCTTCATAACTAGTTACCCACACTGGGAGTTTGAAGTAACAGAGCTTAGAAATAGACTCGATCTTACAAAGATTAATTTTTGGTTACAGCTATAAACTTGTGGAATAGCTTATCTAGTGATGTGACATTTTTTTTTAAATTGGTGTAAAGATGTGAAGAACTAGATTTAGTGCACATTTATATGATGCTCAGGTAAACAGATTTGTCAACTAGTTTTACTGGTAGCTTTATTATACCAAATGTAAATATTACAAATATTTCTTCATAGGTTTGTAAACCAATATTGGAAGTAACTGGCATAAATGTCATGCCTAGTCTCTTTTATATTTACACTGTCATCTACATTGATGGGGGATATGGAAGCCAAAACATGAAAACTGTAGATATATTTATGTTGAGATAATCTCATAAGGCTAATTATCGACATTATCTGCTTGCAAGCTACCTATGTTGATCAGAACTTCTATAAAGATATTATATGAGCAGAGTTGCATTTTTAAAGAAATATTTACAATAAAATTTAAAAACTATACTTGCATGTGTATAATTATGCATGGACTTTTCTCTTTGTTAAAATACTTTTATTTGGGAGCTTTCAACACTCTTACCAAAGCCTTCATGAAGGCTCCAGTAAGAGGGACAAAAGTTCCCAAATAAAAGTATTTTAACAAAGAGAAAAGTCCATGTATGATTATACATATTAATTTATCTATGTTATGAGTTTTAAAAACTTCTGTACTTGTATGGTTAAGCATTCAATCACACTATTAACAGAAATACAAGTGTGATACATTCCTTGAAATTGCATCATTTTTTTTTGATATGGTCTTTGTGTTTAAAGCAGATGCAAATGTATGAGACAAAAGAAATGATCTTAGGTTAATCAAAACCTACCATAAATATTAAAATAGATCCGAGTTATGGAGATATTAATGCCCTTATGAAGAGTAAAAAAGCCAGTAATTAATCAGTGGTATAGGAAGGAGATGCAAAGCGGGGGTGCTTGACTAGACATGCAGCTCAACCTAGGGGGTCTGAAAGCATGCCCCCCCAAATTAATATAATTATGTAATTTATATTTGTTATGTAAGTCAAATATGTAAAAGTGGGGGTGCTATAACACCCCCAGTTCCGATGCCTCTGTTAATAATTAGGCCCCATGACCAGATAATGTTCTATTTTGAGAGTTTTAACACTTAAATGCTTGGATGAATCAAATGGGTGCACCAGTCATATGATTTGTTTTATTGCATTGCAAAATAAAAAACAAACTACTGGATGAAACTGTTTAAAACTTGAACTATGAGTTTTCTACAAATCATATCTTCTGTAAAATATCTTATTTTTACATGTGGTATTTGTACAAGTTATCTGTTATTGAAATGTAAAAAGATTTTTGTAGATTTCTATTACTGTTTTATATATTTTTCTACATTCGTGCAAGTTTTCCAATAGCTTTTTTTTCTAAAGCTGTAAAATTGCCTTAAATTTAATTTTAAAATACCAAACACAGCTCACTACGTTTATGATCACTAACGTACAAAAACCTTTTACCATACCAAAATTTTATATGCAAGTCAACTTTAATCCAGTTCATCTTAATTCTGTCATGGAAAAACTGTAGACAGTTTAAGAAGAGAAGCTTTGAAAAATAATGTAGTGAAAAAAAAAAAAACACATCATAACAGAGAGCTACCATGGATAAGTTAATCTGTTTTTGTTTCTTTATGTTACTTGTTATCTGGATTAGGAAAAGATGTAGACTTGGAGGATTTAGATTTTTAAAAGGCTTTTAATAGATGCCACATAAAATATTACCTGTATTAAATGGACTGAAAGGTGGTTGGATGGGAATATATGAAAGTTGTTATTAAGAGAATCAAGTCAGAGTAGCCCTGTGCCCTTTCTTACTTGCTCATGGTGTACTTTAGTGCTTTGGCCTTTGCTTTTTCTTACTTACATTAATGACACTAGTAGGGGCATAATTATTAACTTTTTCAATTAAAGTTTGCTGAAGACATTAAACTCTTGACAATTTGTAAAATTAGTTGATAAAGACCTTTAATTATAATGAGTGAAAAGTAATGATTTTGGGTTATAACTTGAGTCATATATTTAATATAGATAGGAACCTACTCAACAGTGGAACTGAATAAAAGAATATTGGGATAAAGGTAAATAAGTCATCAAGGCAGTGCTTTTTAGGAACCATTTATAAACATGTTGATTACGAGTCAAGAGAGGTAATTATTTCTTTTTAGGGTTGTTTTTCATGATGTCACAGCTATAGTTACTGTTGCTGTGTGTCATATTGGATGGCAAACAAATTAACCATTGTAATCATATCACCTGAAGTTCTTAGATATAAGCCCATCAACTTTCCAGAACTACCTTATTCTAGCACTTCCACTAATTTCCAAAAACTGGAAGCCCCATTCAAAAACTTGGAGGTGTCACAACAATGTACTGTATTAAATGTTGTTGTAACCACTCAACTTTCTCACACTGCATGTTCCAAGCCAGATAATTTGGACTGGACATCTACTTACTATTTGTCTTGTTTATCAACACATGTGCAATGTTGCTTGGAACATGTATAAGAACCATTACAAAAGGTGTCAATGTATTCCAAATATTTTGAGGAGCTACAACAACTGTCATACAAACATATGCTATTGATAGGGACCAACTAACGAAAGCTGTGCTATTTATTCTTGCAGTCATTGCAAGGGTTCAAAATACAATTTAAATGTTTAAGCCCATCTCAAATTATATTTAAAAGGGTTGATCAGAAACAACAAAATGTCACTGACTTTTCTTTATTAAGATAAATGTTTGATGCTTCTTGTCACTAATTACTAAATTTGTAAGATCAGCTTGCAGTTGTAATTTTAATAAGCAAAATTTTTGTGAAACAAAATATTTTTCTTGTATAACATTATATTTGTGTAAAATAAACTGAACAAGCACTTCCTCACAAACTGTTACTTTTACTTTAAGAATGTTAACAAACCAGAATGTTAGAAAATTTACTCATATTTCTAACATGTAAAACTAAAGCTGCCACAGCAACATATTGACGATTTGCGATATTAAATTTGAAATTAAACTTTAAAAGCTAAAATACTATTACTTGATATTTGAATTGAAATGTGAAGTAGTAAATGAGAATTATTTACAGGATATCCATACGAATCCTCTTACTAGTTGTCACCCACAAATTATTAGTTTACATGTAATGTTCATTGTGAAAGTGAATGGACAAGATTAGCGCGTAACAGCAGCAGATTAATTACTCAATTTACTGTAGAACGAGAACAGTATTACTATACTATAATATTAATTACATCACCTGTGACATCTGTGGACGAAGACTTATTTCTTTCAAGTCGATACATCCCGGTTCTAGCTTATTCAAAACTTGACACAGAAGTACGCCATCACGCAATGTATTTGCGAGATCAATAACTTGAGCATTCTGCCATGTTACTCGATGATCTAGTGGTAATATTTGACATCGAATTAACCAATTTGCGCACTCTCTCCATAACATGTCCGCCATGTTATTTCACAAAACTGTTTTGAGAGAAGGTCGCTCACAAAAATTTACAATCAATTAAAGCGCCACCTAAGATATTCCAATGATTTTTAAACTATAAAAATATAATATAAAATACTTATTTACATACGTCTTGTTCGTACAGGTGCAATTCTTTTGAAATTAACAACTTCAAACATAATAATTTATACAAGTGACATTTATTTACTTATATTTGGAGATACGGAATTGTTTTCATTAAAAACAACTCAATTAGCTTTAAACAAACAAAGGTGAAGTTCAATCTAACATTTGATTTCCCACTTGTCACCGAGTTATACCGGTTTCGAGGATTTCCAACCCTATCAGTAACCCTGATAAGGGGATATCGAAAGAATAAGAGTAGGGTTTATATATAAGTGGAATGTATACTATATATATCAATTTTTATTATTTTACTGTTATTAAATCCATAATTACTAGTCTGTGGTAGCCTGACTATAATGGTTTCAGGAAACACTGTTCAAAAAGTTTTCATTATCTCATATCCATCAAAGCTAATTTTCACCGGTCAACTAGAAGGCAGCCAGTCAGCAACATCCTATTACCCACTAACTACAAAAAGGGTTTAACTGCACTCTTGGAAATGCACATACAGATTGTAGTGCGGGGAATATTCATTGGTATGGCACTGATTTCAGACTGGCTCGCTAGTTCTTAAATCCATATTATGTTATATTATATATATATTATAGAGAAAGTAATATAAATATAAAACTAGATGTGCTTGCGCAGGGTCCTCGAAAGTGTTCTGTTTCAAGAGTAAATAATAAAAAACTTAAGAGTACCAAATATTTTTATTTCTTGCTTTTGAAGTTCATATGTCATGCTGTGTTGTAACCTACAGTGTGCATAATTCTTCTCGTGATTAACAGCATGCGCACGCTTTATTGACGCCGCGACAGTACAAATTGCAACGTTAAGTGTCCCTTATGCGACGTCATTTTAATATTTACCGAATGACTGACAGACAGCACACTAATGTAAAGTGGTGTAAATAGTCAAAATAGGTGACCCCTCCAGGCGGCCTTCGGCCCCCTTTCGGGAAAATTAATACATATATATATATAATATAGACAAATTGTTTGTTATGTTTTACTAACTTTTAAATTTAGTATCACAAACCTATGATTTTTATCAATCTGAAAATGTTGTGTTTGACTTTATTTAGAAATATTAAACTACTTTTCTAATCTATCTAATACTGTGTTGTAGAAATATATGAGCAACTTATGAAGTGCAACGAACAAGATTGTTTTTATGATGCATCACTCTTCAGGAAAGAACAAGCATACAGATGCGTGATCACACCTGGCCACTGTTATATTTGTCGTATACCTGATGAGCCCTGGTATTAGCGAAAGGCCTCATCGGTACCGGATATGGCACTTTTAGTCTGATTGATATATTTTAACTTATTCTCCTTTGTTTTCACCCATAGATTCTTAGAATCATAACAACAAAACACTAAAAACATAACTTGTACTTGATGATGACAAAACCTTGTCGAAACGTTGTACATTTGCTGTTATGTTAAACTTATATTAAAGTTTTTCTTCATTACCCATTCAAGCCGTCTCCAGCCATTATAATTATAGTAGCTAGAAGTGAGATATTGTTCTTTAAGTCTAACCGCTTTAATTGATTCCAAAAAATAAAGAGATGATACCGTAAGGGACAGTGTTGATTTTGAGACTACTTTGTGTTTGTTTTTTGTGGAATTTCGAGGTATATCTGCGCTAGCTTTAACTAATTTTGAAGTGATAGTGGAAGACAGCCATTAAACCCTACCAGCTACCAACACATGGTCTACTCTAATCGAATAGTGGTAAATAAGCGTCACTTATATAACGCACCCACGGCCCCAAAGTGCACTCTGGGATTTTTTTTTCGGCAACGGTCTATGAACCTTTGAACCTCAGATCCGTTATTTGGCACAATAGCTACTTTGTCATACTAGGCCATTTGGAGACTACACAAAACTAGGAAGTGAAATAAAAGTAAACGTTTTATATAAAAATATGTTGTGTTACGGGCTTCCTAAAATAAATCAGAATAAAAGAAGGTGGTTATTCTTACGGTAACAGCAAGTCAACTATGGTCAAATTATTCTCTGAAGTTCCCAGCTCGTCATTCTCTCGCCAACATACTACCAAGGACAATCATTGTGGATAACCCAAGTCATTGATTATTTTCACTATAACATAGTTCTTTTCCAGTACCTGTGTAACTTTTGATTTTGGCTTCTCTTACAGCAGGGATTATATAGTCATAATAACCCCACCTCAATAAGAATGTATATTAATCAGCATTAACATCATAGCGACTTTTTATTCAGCGCCAGCTGACTTATGTCTCTCCTGAATAATGTCATGCATGACATCAATGGTGTTCCTTGGTCTCTCTTTATATTCTGTGTAAGATGATGCTGAGTGACTGTCTCCAAATATGATACAGAAGGTCCAATGGCACTTTAACTTTTCTCTCCCAAACGTCAGTGACGATAGGTATTGCTTTGTAGCTTCATGCACTGTGGTTTGATAACTCGTAAGTAGCAGTGAATGATTTGGATCCCACTTTTACTGGTATTTACCCACAATGATAGCTAACTGATTAAAAAGTATATGGTTCTCCTCCCCCCTTCCTACCATTCCATCAAAAGTTAGATGAAGGGCTGTTGTCGTGGTACTTTGATCCCAAGGAGTTGACACATGTTCACAAACAAGTCTTGTCTGATTCTAAGTTCCATCCTTGATCTAAGTGAAGTTCCATAGGCACCTCAAATTTTGAAACGAATTCAATGACGACTTTATTTACTAATGTTTCGGCTTCCTAGTTAGGAAAAAATATGATTCTGGTCATTTGGTTAAATAATCCATCACAACCATGATATATTTATTTACACTGTTACACTTCGAAAGAAGACCAAGCACAATGACAACTCTCTCAAATACTGTTCAAACAAATTACTACTGTTGCTGTCTATGCTGTTTCTTTCATGAACCTTTTTGTTTACAACATAGCTCACACAATTTACACCACTTCTCTACAGATCCCTGGCAACCAAACCAATATATGCATTCTCTTACTATCTCTTTAGTGTCTGATTAACACCTAAGTATACACCTGTTAGAAAGTTGTGGAGATAACGGTTTTGGAATGCAAAGACTGTGGAAGTACTGGCTATTGTCGTTGTTTCTGTCCACTAGTATCTTCCAATTTCCAATACAACAAGCTCTTTTATAGACATAATGAATCCTAGCTCCCAGTATAGCTCTGTCTTGGGGTGACCGTTTGTCACAAGGGTTTTTTAGTTGAGTGTTGGACACATTAATCTTTCATAATTACTTGGGGATGTGCTATCTTGGACAATACTCTGTTGTACTTCAGGTTGGCCATCCTTACTTTTTCATGCTTTATACTTTCCACATTGTTCACATCATTCAATAGCACATGGTCATTTGGACAATGAATTAGAATTTCAATGGTTCTGCACAATGTTAAAATTGTACTCATAAACTTCTGGAGCCATTTTCCTGTCTGGCCTTCTGGATTTTGAAAATTCACCATCAACTTCGTTACATAATCTGTCAGGAGTGTAAATATTTGTCCATTTAATTAATGACAGGAAGAGCTTAGAGCTCGAACAACATTTAGTTGCTATTTTCAAGTTGTACACCATCTTATTTCTACAGTATTTACTGCCTTTTTATAATAGATAATCACATCATTTTCTGTGTTGCACTTGTAATAACATTGCTCCCACTGCCAAATCATTGGAATTTTGTATCTAATATGGGTGGATCTTCAAGAGTTGGGTATGCTAAAACTGTTGTAGTGGTTATTTCTTTCTTTAGTATATTAAGTGCTTGTTCGCAATTAGTAGTCCATCAAAACTTATTGGTTTTTCAAGTAATTTATGTCGAAAATGTGTAGTATCAGGTTGTACTACGTTTTCCAGTCCTTTTAGTTGAAAGTTCACTAAATTTATTTTCTTTTTCACTATAATTCATAAAAGTGAAATGTAGCATTGCTCAATAAAGTTTCTAACTTAAACTTTCTACAGGGCTAATTTGGTCAAGTGGAGATTAGGCAGCATCTTATCCGATTCTCCTACAGGAATAATTACACGATTATTTATTAGCTTGCCAAATTATTTTTGTCAGAAAAATGAGCAACATATACAGGTGGACCAGCATTATCTTTTCTGCCTGTTGGCCAAATGATCTATCAATTTTTTATTGTGTCAGAGTTTATTGTTATATTTAAATCAGTACTGGGTTTTGAGAGAGCAGATTTATGCTGGAATTTACCTATAATTCACTAGATTTTCATCTAGTATTTCTTTAACTTCCACTATTACGTGGAAATTCTTTAAAAGATTTGGTTTTCGATTGCCAGTAACAGGCTTGTGTAGTTTTACTTGCCAATAACTTTTCAAGTTCTCTTGTAACTTTGAAGTTAAATTTTTTCAGTTTCATTTGTGTAGGTGACATTTGGCTTTTGCCTATAATTTATTTAAGTTTTTTTTCTAGTTCACCAATGAGTAAACTCTTAAGGTTTCAAGTAAACATTAGTTCCTTTTATAAATCTGCACGTGTTGTTATGTTCTTTGTTGCACAACTGTTACACACTGTAGAGATTCTGCTAATTGTGTGTCCTAGTAAACCCATTAAAATCGTTATCAAAGGTTTCCACAAAAGAAAGGAATGTGAGTGCCTGATGAAAGAGCACGGAGTTTCCTTGATAGTTTGTCTTAGAATCAAAATAACAGACCTTTAATTACTAACTTGGGCAAATTCTGCTTCTTATGGATGTCAGATTATTATGTGCTAGCTGCTTCAGGTGTCCTTTATGCATGAAAAGTTTACACAATAGGGCTACCTGATTAAGATCTAATATGGTAACAAGGTAGAATTAATTCTCTGTAGGCATCAGTATTACCAAGTGTTCATGGATTAGAACAAAAATTATAACTT